GCGCGAGTCTCTACAACCGTAAACAACCGCCTGTCCGCGAAGACGATATAGAATCGCGCGCGATCATCGTATCGTCAGTAGCCCTGACTTTGAATCTGTCGTCGATCCGCGTTACATCGGCCATACCCCCTTCAATTTTTCATCGTAACAGGGAAATCAAGGACGCGCGCGATCGATAATCTAAAAAAAACATGAGGAAGCAGCGGGCGTTCGCGTACGCTCGTTCGCTCGCTGCCGCGGTAGGGACGCGATTATATCGCCGAACAATCGATAGCACGGGAGCTCGCGATCGGCCGATTGCCGAATTATTCGATCATTAGACTCGTCTGCCGGCGCCGCCGCACAGTCGGGCCAGGTGACATTTTTTGGTTGAAAATTCTCTAGAGACCTGAATTTCCAACCGATCATCGACACACCAATGGGTGAGGTTGATCCTGAATAAATCCAAAGAGATCTGTCTAGCCGAAATCGTTTGAAAAAATTATCGGTTCAGGGTTCATGAGTTTAGGATTTGTCTGAAACGTTTCGAGGCTCGAACTTAATGTTTTATAGCTAGAATATTCAACGTCGAGTATTATTAGGTTCTCGAGCTATGGCTAGATTGGGATTTTGGACTATTTGGGGCTCTTAATGTATATACGGCTTTGTGCATCCATGAACTAAAAAGTTCTCGGATTGATAGATTCCTAAGTTGATGGGCTTAAGACTCAAAATCCCTCGGTTTTGTGCTTAACGGGTCTATATTTCATGTTTTTCTATTTTGGGCGTATGAGTTTTGGGTTACTGGGTTTCTGGTCCAAGATCGATAAATCTTGAGATGTCTGTTGATTGGTTTTATAGTTTCAATCTGCTGAATATGCTATTAGATAGAAATAAGTGTCGAATAATGAGTGTTCCACAAGTTTCTCGCGTTTAACGATAATTTGTCCTCTTTCGGGGCTAGTAATTCGAGAAAAACATTTTTTTATTTTGGCAAGACAGATCTCTTCGGAATTTATTCAGGGTCAACCTCATCCATTGGTGTCGATGATCGGTTGGAAATTCAGGTCTCTAGAGAATTTTCAACCAAAGAATGTTATCTGGCCCCACGGCCATCTGTGCGCCGCGATGGGCAACGAGCGATATCGTTTTCATCGTCATGGTATCTTCCAGAGGAGGGATTCCCGAGGTGCGAAGGACCAACGTCTCGTTGCTCGGTTTCCGGATTACAAGAGCCTCGGGAATTTGTCTGTTTACTCGATCAACAAGAACGTCCCTCTTTGCACTCTTTACAAAGTACAAAAGTGGATGCATATTAGGGAGACACTTGAGTAGGGATTGTGAACGTAGAATTTTTCCGCAGGATGTTAACATTCGTTGTCGCACTAAATCCTCAGCACTATACCACCTGAGTAGAAAAATTAGTAGGCCTCTGGTAAGATCCTGATTATTTTTCTCTGACATGAATCGGACCCTAGTGGGGATAAAAAGACCCTAGGGCCCTGTAAGATGTGTAACAAATGGTTTAACGAGTCCTTACTGAGGCGATATTATGAGAGGGCCTTACAAGGCAATATTAATAGGCCTTATAAGGAAATATTTTTATTATTGCTTGAGTAAAAATATTTATTCTTTTCATTCCAAGAAATTTAGCCTGTAATTTCTTTATTTCTTTATAACCTTGTTAGTATACAACAGGAATTTTTTATTTTAGAAATATAGCATACTTTACAATAAAATATAGCATTCTTTACATACAAAACTCCTGCTACTGTTTTTATTAAAGTTTGCTGCATTTCAAAACGAAGGCAATACTAGAAAAATCCTTAGAACAGACTAATGAATATGGCAACTGATGAAAGCTAATAAAATTGGTTTTTAATTGCGGTATAATTAAAAAATTTTTTAAAGGAACAGATAGAGCGTACCTACTAAAACAATACTATGACTAAACTATGACAATTTTATTACACGCTTCGGACTTTATTAATTTTCTGTAACAAAACTTGATTTTTTATATCTAAAGCATATCCTCTTAAAAGATCCTTCCAAGGCCCTCATCAGTTTTTCTTATCAAAGCCTTATTTCGTAAACTCTCAGATATCTATCTCGGAATACCTGATGTAGCAACAATAAGGCATCCCTTTTTAGGGCATTCTGCTTTCAACCTTATCGAGGCCTTATGCTTCATGAGAATGATCCTAACAATTTTTGGTCGGGTAGCTTGTCCAGTTTTAAAATACGTTTGTGTTATCCGAAACATTTGAAAGTAATATGGAAAAGAAATTATAAGTATCTCAAAAAAAGAAAAGAAAAATAAGTAAATATAAAACAAAATTGAGACCGTGAATTCATATCAGAAGGATAATTTTTACATATATAGAAATTTCTTATAAGAATTTCTAACGTTCACAACTTTTACATATATAGTATAAGTAATGCGTCCCACACATAGACATAGTTGATAAAAAATATGTTTAAAATAAAAAAACAAATCATGTTTATTGTTTAAAACTTTTTTTATATTTTAAAGTGGAAAAAAACATAAATATGAATCTGCGTGTAATACTGTAATGTGCAAGAAAATGAAATATAGAAAAGAGATAAATATTTTGTGAAAGATTTATTTTGTGTCAGATTTATCAAATTATTTATTTGTGTCATCAATAATTTTACGTCCAAAATTCACATTAAACACTTAAAAAATACATGTTTTAAACATACGTTTTTTTAAACATGCTTAAAACATGTTTTTAAGAAATATATATTTAAAGCGATGGAATGTTTGAAACATATTAAAAACCTTTGTTTTAAACAAAAAATTGAAAATATGCCATTTTCCTGCATATAGGACATTTTTCTGGAAGATTTATAGCACCCATATACTGAAAAAATTCCACATTAGTGTCCAGCTAGGATATATTCGTATTCCATTCGAGATATTTGAAGGTAACATGGGAAATTATCTTATGTGTGGTATAAATTTTCATATTGTAAAATTCAAAGAGTATCCGGACAAACAGATAATTTAGGCTCTCGCAGTGTAAAGAAGTACTTTGGTTTCCGGATTGTTATTATTCATCGGATGTTCGTTTCAAAGCTCAGATCAGATGTCAGGGTGAATTCGATTACCGCAAGTAAATCGATATGCTGAATAAAGTAACGATGACATTTTATAGTTTGATAGAAGCTAAAAGACGAGGTTATCGGATGAGATTGCAGGAAACAAAAAAGAATATATTCATAAAAACGGAATACCCTCCAATGACCTTGAGACTTTGATATGTATTGTAAAGGTCATCGTCCTGAGTAGCATACTAAAAGTTTTAGCCGCCGCTCATTGTTTATTAAATAGTTATTAACAAGAGAAGTTTTATTAACACATAATGCAATTTTCCGACATTTTTGGACGGAACTTTTGGACACCATGTATGTAAACATGATATAGTCAGTTGATTAGATTGGATTAGGGTTAGGTTAGATTAAGTTTAGTTTGTATATTGTTGATGATATGCGTCGTTCATTATTTAAAAAAAGAAACTATCAGATCGGTTATCTAATTTTATTTGCCTTTTAATTAGAAATCCTGCAATATAGCTTTCGTAATGATACTTGCGTATCTCATAGAGTGATATTGTCGTTCGCATATCACGCCACAACCGTTCTATATTTTAAGTATGGGCACTTGTAGCTTGTATTGACGTAACTTGGACTTGTAATGTTGGATCAACGAAATATAATCTTTGTTATTATTACCTTATTACTACGAAGCACAATGATATATAAACCTAACTTGATCTAACTCAATCCAACCAACCAACCAACCAACTATACCGTATATAATATACAGAGTGTCCAGGATCTTTTGGAAACGAAAAATTGCGAAGATTAATCAGATCAATCTGAGAAGAAAAGTAAATGTGTCATTTTGCCGAAATAGCAATAGTTATTAAGTTGTTAATGATTGAAACGATCGCATCTAGCTTTTTTAATTGATAACTTGAAAATTTACGTACTTATTTGCAAAATGGTAAAGGACCTTTTGTTCAGAATGACCTAACCTTTAATTATATGACGGCTATTGTTGTGCCTAGCGACAGGTTCAAAGTTCAATATACTCATATCTATCGCTAGACACAATAGCCGTCATATAATTGTAGATTAGGTCATTCTGAACAAAAGATCCTGCTTCATTTTGCAAATAAGTACGCACATTTTCAAGTTATCAATTAAAAAAGCCTCTAGATGTGGTCATTTTCAATCTATTCAACCATTACAATTTTCGCAAAACGGCACATGACTTTTCTCCTCAGTTTCATCTGATCAATCTCACAATTTTTCGCTCCCAAGAGATCCCGGACACTCTGTATGTCAAGGTCACTAGAGGATGTTCCGTTTTTATGAATATTTACCAAAAAGAAGTCCCGCTCAAATGAGCCTGAAAAAAAGTCAGATCGACAGCAACGTCGGGGTTGACGAGGGTTGAAGAAAATAAATTTGCCCCGCGCGGGCTGCGACGTGCAGCGCGTCGACGGTGATTCTCTAGCGACTTGCTGCTGGATCGCTAAAACAAAGCGCGCGCTCGCGTGAGGTTCCGCCGAAAAGGCCCCGAGCACGTGGGGTCGCTCCTTTTGTTCTCCGTATACCGTATGTAGCGTGACGAATACAGTTATATCTAGTTATCTCCGCTACGGAGATGATAGCGCGCGAGCTCTCGTCGCCGGTGCGCACCGTGCGCGCTGGCGAACGGCCCTGACCTTATGGGCGCGGGTTCGTTGAACCGTTGAATCTTGAGATGTCAATTGATCGTGCAGCTTCACAATGCGCGGTCAGCGCGGCGAATGAAGCTCGCTAATGCGCGTCTCCCCGGCGCGCTCGGGAACGCGCCGGTGTCTGGGCCGGGAAAGAGTGAGAAAGAAAGAGAGAGCGAGAGAGAGAGAGAGAGAGAGAGGGCCCAGATCACGACGCCGTAGCCGCAGTCGTCCTCCCCCGCTGACTAGTGCGATTGATTTCTGTTGCAGACAACAATGCCGTCGGTCGACTCGTAATATCCGGAGTAGCGCGAGGGAACGGGGACAGATAGATGTCAGAAGAATGGCGTCCACCAGCGGGCACAAGAGGAACGGCTCCAGCTCGAGCATGTTCGCGCACAAACGCACCGAGTCCGGGGGTGGCTTCGTCGGCTACAAGCGCACCGAGGGCGGCCACAAGCGTGCCGAGAGTATATCCAGTGCCTTTGGCCACAAGCGATCGGAGAGTGGCCACAAGAGGAACGAGAGCAGCGGCGGCTTCGGTCACAAGAGGTGACTCATATTTTTTTCTTTTCTTTTCCTTCAGACAGAGCTCCTGGCTCCTAGCCTCCTTCTCACGCCCCCCTCTCGCCTATCTCTCTCTCTCTCTCTCTTGCAGGTCCGAGTCCGGCAGCAACTACCATGCCGGCCACCGGCGGAATGAGAGCATGTACGCCATGACGGGCCTCTACGCCGAGAGCGCCGGCACTGGCACCGACGACAACGCGGACCCGTTGCAGGCGAGCGGCAGCAGACTGACCCACGACACCGTCATTAGGTGTCACAGCAGAAACCCGAGTTCCGGCCTTGTGGATCATAGGTGAGCGGCGAAGGTCCTCCGAGTCCCGCGAGCGATGACTAGCCGAGCCAAGCCGAGCCGCCTACGTCACTCTGATCATCGCGCATCCCTCGCCCGCGGCCGTTCCTTCTTCTCTTTGTCCGCGACACCTCGGCTCCCTCGGCCGACGGAAGATCGCCAGGTGCCCCCTCCCCCCCCCCCGGCTCTTATCTCGCCGTCGGACCGGCTGATCGCATCGATGTCCTTTCGCCACGCGCGCGACACGTCATTGCGGATTTCAGTCTCTCGCTCGCTGCGATTAACCGTGATTCATTCTCGCTCGTCCGCGCAGAAGGAGAGATTATTGTTGCGCCTCCCCCCCCTCTCTCTCTCTCTCTCTTCCTCTCTTTATAGGTAGCGATATTTTCGCGTTTCCGAGCTGCGCCGTAAGCGCACGCACCTTTGTATTCTCGCCCCGACCGGAGCTTTGCGAAATGTTAACACGGCGCGCGACAAAGTCGCAAGTGCGCTACCGCGAAAGACTGCTCAAGTAGCCAAGTAGAAAGCGAGAGCACGACGACCATGACATATTTGCCCGTGCGTGGTGCGTAGATTTTCGTGTCGGAGCGCACCGCACGCTTTTCGTTATCGTCACAATCGTTACGCCGCACTCTCGTTGCTCCACCACCGTTTTCTCGCTTCGCAATACGCAATTCATCGGGCAAAGTCGGGCCGGGCCGGGTGGGGGGAGGGGGGAGGGGGTCGTCGACGACGAGCGAACTGTGGCGTGAAAAGGTTCTTCTTCTTCTTCTTCTTCTTGGGCCGGTTCTCGGCGATAAATATCGCGAGTCGTAAGCCGGTAAGTAAGAAACGGTCGATCACAGTTGATCACCACGAGAATAATCGCGGCTGTGATTGCGAGCAATTCTTACGGCTTGCGATTTGCGACACCTACTGCAGAGCCGGCGGAGAATTAACGGAGAAGCTCGGAAGCGTGACCGCGCGCTCCCCGTGTCATTCGGAGGAGAAAACGCGTGGCGCTTAACCCCGGATAGGAACTAAGCTACTTACGAGTAACGTTGTGACTAAACATTCGTGAAAATGACGACGTCAGTTAAAAAAAAACGCGAATACAATTAGGCTCTTTTGATTCAACGGCGGAAACATCTTATCTCGCAAAGAAACGGGATAAGTGAAATTAGAAAATTATATTTTTCATATTGAAACATTTGGAACAAATGTCCCGACGTTCGTCATTTCTACGAAAGGTTTGCTATCCACAGGGTTGATAAAAAATACGATTAAAGTAAAATAAAAAAAAAACGAAACACGCCTTTTTGTTTAAAACTGTTTTCTTGTGTTTTGAATATGCTTTCAACAAGCGTAAGAAAAAATATGTTTTAGGCATATATGCATTTGATTTTTAGTACAGTTTGAACATTTGACTCTTGATGCGGTTTGGAGCGTAGTCGGCGGTTAAAATTTTTTTTTAATTATTTCATTTAGATAAACTATGAGATGTATGTAAACAAAATGGGAATTATTAAGTAAATAGGTATAATATACATATACACATATATATGTAATAATTATTCCTTTTTTATAATCGTGCAATGATGCATATATTTGTGTGTAACGCTGTAACGTACAAGAGTATGAAAAAATAGATATTTTGTAAAAAGATCAAATTTATATCGTAATTTTACGTCCAAAATTCATATAATTATTCGAAGTAAGGTCTTTCTCGATTTTTGACATTTTTTTGCGGTTTTCTTGATAAAAATCTTCATTGTGACTCTAACAGTGATAATCAATCGGGGAAGCCTGAAAAACATGCTATCTATATACTTTTTTTTAACTATTTCTTTCCAACATGGCTGTCTGGATCTGGCAAGGTTAAAAATATGGATGATGGCCTTTGAAAGAGCCGATTTTGTGCCTGTTTATGCTTGAAAACAAAGCTGTAAACGAAACAAGACTATAGAAAAAGATTAACAAGGGTAAAAAAGTAGAATATATACAGGGTGTCACATTAAAAAATATATATATATACTTAGATGTATCAAAAACGTCGCGTTTTAGAAAAAAAATGTTTCAGATAAAGTTGTTTAATTTTGAAGGAGACACAAAGTGATAAAGTCAGTTTGACCTCGCGTCCACAATTCCGAGCTCACGTGAAGGTCACATTGAAATTTTTATTTAATATAAACTTCTATTTTTTATTGTAGATTCTTGTAGCAGACATCGAGGTCTTTTCAAGACGCTATGGATAAGTTGAATTTCTTTCAGAATTTTTATGTTATGAGATATTAAAGTTTAAAAACCGCTCTCATTAGCGTTACCCGGTGCACACCACGAAGAGGTTGCTCGGTCGGATTTTGTACATCATGCAGCTCTAAAAAGGACTGATGTGATGCAAATATGTATAGATATGTTTTAATTAAATAGGTTAGGTTAAGTTAAAAAAATACGCAAACGACGATATTTCTCAGGCTCCCCTGACTTATTATCACTATTAGAGCACAATAAAAATTTTTATCAAGAAAAGTGCAAAGAATATCAAAATTCGCAAAATAGACCTTACTCCGAACAATTACGAGAATTGATGTTAAATGTTTAAAAGAAAAAGAAAAACACGTTTTAGAAGAAAACGCGCGTTTAACATGACCGAGTGTTTAAGGCATGTTTGAAACTTCAGTTTTAAACAGAAAGTTCAAAACGTGCCAAGCCTGGTCACCCAGGGTTAATTACGGCGTTCTAACGCGGGCGATTCTAACGCCGCGCCGCGCCGTCGGTCGTAACGTCGCAGCACCGACATGCACGTACATACGCCGCCGCATCGCACAGCACACATGTATTCATGCTTCGTTTCTCTTGTTCCAATTATTTTTCAGAGATTTTATCATCAAATGTCACAGCAGGAATCCCAGTGCTTCTATGGTGGACAGGTAAAATATCACGTCATCATTCCATTGCCGCTCGCTGTTTTGTTGTCCGTCGTCATTAGCGTAGTTTGCTGTTCGTGCCTTGTGTTCAGTCTGTTTGCTTGCACTTTTGACACTTTTGTACCTCGCGCCCACTGGGCGTTGCATACTGGCCTCTCTTTAGAAAGAAGAGGCCTCTTGTTGGATATCGTCTATCGCGTCCGGTGTGTAACAGGCATTAGATATATTAGGAGTGTGACTTAATTTTGATGGTTTTGTTTTCTCAAACTGAATTACTTAAACAAACGACGAACGAATACCTCGATCAACATATTTTCCTTTGTCTCCTACAGCCTTCCTGGCAAGAGATGAATTCCGCGACGTTGAAAAGATTTTCCTTTGGAGTTGATCCAATTTCCATCAAATTTTCGCGTTTGTTCCAAGTTATGAAAGTGTGTACTCCCTAGAGCAGGGGTTCCCAACCGGCGGTACGAAAAAGCATTCTTGGGGGGAGGGGGTGCGAGGAAAAGTGATTACAATTTGATAATGATTAAGATGAATTCTAGAATAATCTGGCATTTTCATCATCAGATTAAAAAAAAATATTAAAATTATACAGGGTGTCCCATTTTAATCCGGCCGGCTGAATAAAATTCGAGAATGATATTTTCCAGAAAAAAATGTCAGACAAATGTTGCTCAGTTCTAAGGGGGACATTCGATGCCTTTGATATATAAATATATCAAAAATTTTCATTCTTGCACATTTATTCAGTTCGTCAGAAAATATTATCAAAAACAAGCACGATTTTTCAGTAATCTGACTCTCCAGTCCCCTTAAGAAACAACAATAGCTGTGATTGGAATGTCTTCGGAAAAACTGACATTAGTGCCCCACCTCTCGCGAAACCCTCAGAACTAAATCACACTCCTAATAAAGATGTCAAAGGTGCAAGCAACGCGGACAAACCTATTAGCGCGACACGCTTGTTCGGGGAAACGACGATCGCGCGTATTAAGAGGAGAGGAAGATCTCGGGGGATTTCCCCGATGTGTTTTCTCTTCGGCCCGCCGGCCGTGCGTTCAATTCGATTTCCCGCTTGTTCTCTTCCCCCCGCCCGCGCCGCGCCGCGCCGCGTCGCGTCGATCTTTATCGCCGGGCCGCAGTTTACTCATTCTCGCGGTTTCACACTTTAACACGCTCCGTTGTTCATTGTCTGATCTCCTTGAAACGAATGCAGGGCGGAGAAGGAGAGGGCGCAAACTCCGCCGTTTAATCCGGACTCCAAGGACTGTGGGATTCTGAGTTGTAGGCCGGCCTTCATTCAGAGATTCGCCGGAATAAAGGTACGAAGGCCGCGAATTTGCATGTTTATTCGCGAGAGGGGGCGCCTTTGGGAAAAGCCGTGTCTTGATTCTCTCTCTCTCTCTCTCTCTCTCTCTCTCTCTCTCGCACGCGCGCGCGGAGTATTTTGGCATCTCGCTTGCTCTCTCGACGCGTTTCAAGGGAAATTGATCGTTGCCGTGCGGCGGCGTTTCGGAGATTTGTATTCGTCCTACGCGGAGGATAACGGGGCGAGAGAGATCCGTGTCGCGAATTTTTTTGTTTTTCTTCTTCTTTTACGTCGTAGGAGAGCGTCAAGTCGCCGAAGTCGCGAGGGAGATAACGCGTTACGAGGTGAGCGATCGCCGCGCTCTTCATCTTATAAGGTCGCTCACATATTACAAGCGGCGAGTGGCGCGTTTCAATTGGCGCGGTGCACGCGGATGTATAAAACAGGCGCCGTGACTCATCATTCGAAAGGATACGAGCCGTGCCGTATGACGGTGGAATTGTACGAAAGAGGCTCGGGACCGCGCGCGGCGATCGCCGCGACATATCGCGCGAATAAGTTCGCCTCTCGGAATAGAACCTGCGCCGTCCCTCGCTGAGGTCGAGCGACGGCTCAGGATCACGGGAGGACCCGCGCGAGCCTTACTCACTCCTGCCGATCACCGATGTGATGTTCGAATTTCAGGTGTTCGTATTCCTCCTGTCGTTCCTCGTTACGTTGCAGCAAGCGCTTAGCTCAGGTTACATCAATTCTGTGATAACGACCATAGAGAAGAGGTTCGAGATCCCGTCCAGCCTTTCAGGCCTCATTGCGAGCTCCTACGAGATCGGCAATGTTATCACTGTCATTTTCGTCAGTTATCTCGGTAGTCGCAGGCATATACCTGTCTGGATAGCGATCGGTACGATAATGGTCATTTGATTAAACGCGCACGCGACGACTTCGCGACCACGCCGGACGGCGAGATGTGTTTTATTAACTCACACCTCTTTCTCTCTCTCTCTCTCTCTCTCTTTCTCTTGCGATGAAGGTGCAGTGATAATGGGACTGGGATCGATGATCTTTATGGTGCCACATTTCACAGCGGAACCCAACCTGACGACTACAGCGAATCATTCCAATTCGGATAATATCTGTCGTGGCGTGTCGTTGCGTGAACAGGACATGGGTTTGGGTGAGCGTCTCCAGAGAGTGATGTTTGTTGAGAAAGCTCCGTATCGAGTTTTCTCTCTTGTCTTTTTTTGCTTTTTCAATCAACCCTTAACAAGCTACATCTGTTTCTGTGTTATACTGTAATGTGCAAAAGTAATGAGAAAATGGATATTTTGCAAGGAGATCAATTTATATCATCAATAATTGCCCAAAATTTATATTAAACAATTAAAAAAAGCTTGCTTTAAAACGAAACATATGTTTAAAATTATCGAATGCTTGAAACTTTTATTTTAAACAAAAATGTATATTTTTCTACACTTTTAAGGAAAATATTTATAATTTTGTGCCAATTGTTGATGCAGGAATTATTTTCTTTTTAAATAATCGTGCAATAATGTATACATTTGTGTGTAAAACCGTGTAATGTGCAAAAGTAATGAGAAAATGGATATTTTGCAAGGAGATCAATTTATATCATCAATAATTGCCCAAAATTTATATTAAACAATTAAAAAAAGCTTGCTTTAAAACGAAACATATGTTTAAAATTATCGAATGCTTGAAACTTTTGTTTCAAACAAAAGTATATATTTTTCTGCATTCTTAAAGAAAAGATTTATAATGTTGATAAAGATCTCGGACCATTCAAATAAAAGCAATCTTTTTTTTTCTTCTACAGCAAAGGGTTATTATTTTTCCTTTGAAAAATTGTATATGATTTGAAACTGTTTATACGTTACCACAAATTTTGGCCAAATATTTATAGTTCATGTACACTCAAAGAAAGTAACACAAAACAATTGTGGGTGAAAATTCACTCGTTCTAACGATAATGAAGTAACAAAAACATCCCAATGTTCAAGGGTTCAAAACCGTGTAATTTGGAAATCTGTCCGCAGGTCGGCTCTCGTCAGGGTTATCTTCGCCTCCTTTAGCGCCACATAATAATTTAAGAGGTGACAATTGCATACAGGGATCTCCGTCTACAGCTGGACCCGTCATGCTGTTTGTACTTGCTCAGTTACTATTAGGATGTGGGGGTTCTCCTTTGTTTACTCTCGGTACTACTTATATAGACGATCACGTGAGACCGGAAAGCGCGTCTTTATATATCGGTGAGTAAAAGTGCCGCAGGATCGCGCGTGCGTTGAAGAGGGTGTTTGTCAAAAGTGAAGGTCGACGTTTGGTCAAGTCGAATTTTTGTGCTTTTACTCTTCGCATTTGCTCTTCTCTTCTGATTGTCGATGATGAATCGACAGCGAATCTTTCCCAATCGCGCTGCAAGAAGTGGTCTTTCTCCTTGCCAGGTTGTATGTATAGTATGGCGGCCTTTGGACCAGTCTTGGGTTTTCTCCTCGGAGCGTATCTTTTGTCCTTTCATATGGACTCATTTTCTGGAACGATCATAAGCATCGGTAAGACAAGTCTCTCTCCTTGTACCTTGAACCGTGTGTCGTTGTCACCCGAACTCGCCTGTAACACAAATTCGTTTCAGATCCCGGAGATCACAGATGGGTCGGCATGTGGTGGGGCGGATTTCTACTCTGCGGCCTGCTTCTGATTTTAGTGGCAATCCCCTTTTTCAGTTTTCCCAAGACACTGCAGCGTGAGAAAGAAAAGATACGGATCATAGAAAAGAACAAACCAACCAACCAGAAGGAGAAGGAGCAACAGAAGGAAATTAAGAAAGAAAACGTCGACGATAGCGGCTACGGCAAGGATGTGAAAGGTATGAATCAGTTTCTGCGCAGTTCCCACTCTCAATGTTCAGTCGAACGTCGTGTCGTTAAGTCCGCTTAACGTTAATGCAACGCGAATCTCCCTGAGATGTTATTCTTCTCGCGACAGATATCCCACGAAGTATGTGGAGGCTTGTCTGCAATCCAGTCTACGTAGTGACGTGTTTGGGAGCGTGCATGGAGCTGGTGATCGTGTCCGGCTTCGTGGTGTTTCTACCAAAGTACCTGGAAACGCAGTTCAGTCTTGGGAAGAGCCAAGCTAGCATCTTCACCGGCTCGATCGCAATACCGGGCGCCTGCATCGGGATCTTCTCCGGCGGATGTTTGCTCAAACGCTTAGAACTAAGGCCGAAGGGTGCGGTACAGTTCGTTCTCGTGTCGAATATAATTTGCTTGGTGTGTTACGGTCTGCTATTTTTCCTCGGCTGCGAAAATGTAAAGATGGCTGGGACCACTATACCGTACTTTAACAGTAGTACAAAGGGCCCCGAACCCTTTCAAGTAAATCTCACTGCCGCATGCAACTTTGGTTGTGAATGCCGAATGACGGACGTCGAGCCGGTTTGCGGCAACAACGGTCTGACGTACTTTAGTCCATGTCACGCAGGTTGCACTGCCTTCAGTTCAAAATCAAATTTCACAAATTGCGCATGTAAGTCCATGTTCAGTGTGCGATAGTCCGGGATAATGAGTGAGGCGGCATTGTCGCGACTAATCGCCTCGTTCCCGTGTCCTCAGGTATACACGGTAATTTGACTATGTTACCACCAGCCGCTCCGGAATTTGCGGAAGTGACCGTCGTGCCGGTAGCGACCGCCGGTCCTTGCACTTCGCCGTGCAAAACTATATTTCCATTTTTAATTCTTTTATTCTTCATGACGTTCATTGTCGCCGTGACTCAGATGCCTTTACTCATGATAGTATTACGGTGAGTCCCCAGCGTGCATGTCTGCCGGTTGCCGCGAGAGTGCGCTTCTACCGCTATGTGTGTCGCTTGCAGGTCCGTTTCCGAAGAAGAAAGATCCTTCGCTCTGGGTATGCAATTTGTAATCTTTCGATTGTTCGGTTATATACCGGCACCGATACTGTTCGGTAATCTGATCGACTCCACGTGCTTGCTGTGGAAGAGCACCTGCGGGGAAAAGGGGGGTCGATGTCTACTCTACGACATCGAACAATTTAGATACAGGTAGACAGGTTTCGTATATCTTGATTGCGTGTTTGCGCTTGATCTTGACGCGAATCTTTCCTTGACACGATTCCAGGTACGTCGGCCTATGTGCTGGTATAAAAATTTTAGCCCTGGCGTTATTTCTAATCGATTGGTGGCTGGTGAGGAGGAGAAGACAAATGGAAGACCAGCCGCCATCCTTCACTGTCAATGAGTTTGTAGGGTCAATTATCAGCCTAGATAAACGTGAGTAGCAAACGACGGTTACATCGCATAGTTACAGGATATATATCGCGCTCGCGACTCGACGATGAAACGATAACGCGCGCTATCGCACGCCGTACAGTGTTTGAGGAGAAGCCGCATCATCAGAATCTAGGTGGAGATGGTGACGCAACTCTGCCGAGTTCCGAGATTCCAACGCCATCCTCCATCTCGTCGCCTACAGAACCTACCAAGTCAACGAATCTCGAGGAAACAGGGTCGTCGAATCAGACGCAAGATTCCACGGAGACGACGAATCGCTCAAAACACACGGAAATGGAAGTTCCCGATACGAGGCAAGCGCCGTTCGCCGCCATGCAAGAGCCGCCGGACGTCGAGATCAAGCCGTCGAGCGGTATGGCGGAGAATCGTAACCGAAATGTTTAATGTTTATTTCACACTAGAAGCTATAAAAATGAATATATCAAATTAGTGATATGTAAATTTGTGACAAATTATTTTATATAACTATATATATATATATATATATATATACACACACGTGTATACAGGTATATTTGCTGATGGATCTTGCCTGAGTAATACAGGTCTACATATCCACACACACACAGACACACACACACACACATACACACATGTACATTCTTTCTTTTCCGTCGACAGAAGATGCGTTACAATGTCCGTAGGCGGTAAAAGTTTGTACGATACTGAAACATCCGAGAAGCCGTAAATGTAATGAATTCTCGCGATTGTATTTATTTATTATATTTCCATCTCTCTTTGTATGCATATAGCACACCGTGTACCATGCGCGTATGGGTGCACGTAAAAATTTATTATTTATTAGTCGAGATGATTTGTCACAAATTTAAATAGCCGAGTCGATTACTCTTAGGGAATAATAATATCACTAGAACGTAAATTTTTACAGCAATCATATGTATGTCAATAAGTAGATATATAACGCGTAAGTGTAGTTCGTTTCAAACGTACAACTTGTGAGATTGTATTATTCATTGCACATTTAGATTTATACTGTTGCTACGTATATCGTTAACGAACAAATATGTACGGGGGGAGGGAGGGGGGATAGGGTGGTGAGCGAGATGGGGAAAGATACGACGGATGTGCAATGCGGATAAACTTCTCTTGTCGTCCGAATCGTTCTGTCGCGTCGCGATAAAATAAGCCTTGCGCTATTGCAAGAGAAGGCCAACGTAACGATGAAATTGTAAATATGAAAATTCCTGCCTTAAGAAATATACAAGACTAGACAAATGTATATTTAAAGATAATGAACTAAGTATCAGAACTAACGATCTATATATAAATATATAAATATAAATATATATATATGTATATATATATATATAAATATATATATGTATGTATGTATATGTATATATATATATATACATATATATAAGGTGTCTCAAAAATACCGGACCCCCCGGATAAGTTTGCAGGATCAAACTTTCATGAAAAACTTTAAATACAAAAGTTGTAGGAAATCGAGTAACGGACTTGATGATGACCTTGAATTTGACCTTGGCCATGACCTTCAAGGTGATTTGAAAGTCAACTTGAAAATTTTTAATGGGAACTCCTATTTTTTGTGACACTGTTTTTTTCTACCAATTAATTTGAACAACTTTTGTCTAAAACATTTTTTTATTTGCCTAATATTTTTTGAGATATTTGAGGAAAGCTTGATAACTTTTTCAATATTTAACTTACGATATCTGGCTATTTGTCGGAAGGAAAAATGGTACTAGACTTTTTTGCTTTATTTAATCTCAAGAATATATTGTTACAATAGCGCCCTGACTTTTGTTAACTTATTGGCTTTTGGAAATTTTAAAATCATCAAATTAACAAAAATCACGGCACTATTGTAACAATATATTCTTGAAACTAAATAAAGCAAGAAGGTCTAATACCGCTTTTTCTTCCAACAAATAGTTAGCGAGATATCGTAAGTTAAATATTGAAAAAGTTATCAAGTTTTCCTCAAATATCTCAAAAAATATTAGGCAAATAAAAGTATGTTTTAGACAAAAGTTGTTAAAATTAATTGGTAGAAAAAAAACAGTGTGATAAAAAATAGGGGTTCCTATTTAAATTTTTCAAGTTGACCTCTAAATGATCTTGAAGGTCATGGCCAAGGTCAAATTCAAGGTCACCTTCAAGTCCGTTGCTCGATTTCCTACAACTTTTGTATGTAAAGTTTTTCATAAAAATTTGATCCTGCAAAGTTATCCAGGGGGTCCGGTATTTTTGAGACACCTTGTATATATATATATATATATATATATATATGATATCACTAGTGCAAAGGTAAGAGCTACGATTTATTTTATAACTAGAGATTAGGTTTCTCGGAAAACCAGTAGTCAATTTAGCGTAGTGAGACAAACGACGAGGATTAGTATGACGAATTTCTATAAGTAATTCCCATTGTTGAACGACGCGTTGATCTGTGTCTTATGTTTGTTCCCCGTAGGCAAACATACGCAACCGTCACAAAGTGCGCATCGATCAGCCGCACGTGATCTCTTGTCTCCTTTTAGTTCTTCTACACGCTCTTCTTTCCTTCGGTTCGTAGGCGACCGTTCCTTTACGTGAGCTTTTCATAGAGAGTCCTAGAGGATAACGTTTCCACGATGAACCGTGGAAGTCGCTGTACACCTATATCATACAAACGATGCTTCCAAGCAACGAAAATGATGACTTTTATTTGCTGACCGTGGCTCGGTGTGTATCGAGGGATGATTGGGATTAACGTATATCACCGTTTTGTCTCGGTTCAAAGTCCTGGCTTTACGCAAAGAGCTCGCTCGCCGTACGGGGAGCCTGTTTGCTTCGTACCTGAAAGCCTCTCGAATCAATTTCGATGTAAAAGGAAACTATTATAAAATCACTCAGGAATGTGAAATTCTATATAGAGGGTAGTGGCACCACTCCTAATTTAACTCAAACTAAAGGACTCGTACGAATCAATATGCCGTTTGAGAGAGAGAGAGAGAGAGAGAGAGAGAGAGAGAGAGAGAGAGAGAGAGAGAGAGAGAGAGAGAGAGAGAGAGAGAGAGAGAGAGAGAGATTGTTAGTAGTAGAGGAAGTAGGAGCTTGTCTTTGTTGCGCGTCGAATCTATTTCTTCTCCGATGAAACTTCCTCTCCATGAAGGATTCGAGGGTACTGAGCCGTGAATGAGGAAAACAAAGAGGAAGGATATCTAGAGTAGACGATTTAGGCGCAATTGCTTTCCGCGGATATACGTTCGCCGCCGGCTGACTTTCGGACATTTCTCTGCAGGCTATTCTCCACGCTTCGCGGGTACTAAATAGTTTAGCGCGTATTGTCGCTTACCGAAAGAGCAGGCGTAGCCTTAATTTCACGTAATTCTACCCACCCCGCTTTGGCTCATCACTGTCAATTTCTCGATACTGTAATACACGTTACTATATTTTAGAGACGGGATTTTCGAGTTTACTGTAAATCACTTCGTCAAAGCTAACCGTTCGCCACCACGTTTCGAAGGACAGCGCGCGTATGATCTCCGTAACTACATATTACTGAACACTTATATACCTGCTTTGTGATATAAACTTCTTCCGAACGGTAACCTTTGAGGAAGAACCGTAGAGAATAACAAAAAAGTGCTGTGAATAGAGAGGGGGAGGGAAAAATACACGCGTTAAAATCAAATTTTACTCAATGTACGTGCCGAGAGAGAGAGAGAGAGAGAGAGAGAGAGAGAGAGAGAGAGAGAGAGAGAGAGAGAGAGAGAGAGAAAGAAAGACGGTAGGAGGGAGAGGCGCGAGTTCATGCCGGATCTTTGTCCCGCGACTGTACATACATAAAGTAGTTAGGGCGATTTATATCAAGCGAGAAAGAGAGAGAGAGAGAGAGAGAAGAGCGCATGTATCGCATAGTATAATCTCGTTCGTTGAGGTTGCCATGATGAAACGACATTTTTATCGGCGTAAAGCGGGCGATCGCAGCGTAATCGACTCTGAAAAGACGATTGACTCGCCTGTAGCAGCCTATAATTTGCGCGTAGCTCGTATTTATTGTTGTATATTTCTTTCTTCTTTTCTAAGAGCGTTACTTAAGTACTTTTGTAAGAGTTTTTCTCTCCTGTACATGTGTGTATATTGTTCTTTCCGCCGTGTGAGCGAGGCGAGACGCAAAACGCCCTCACCGGATCTCGTAGTTTTCGTTTACTCTCTCGCGTAATGAAGCGTCGTCGGTTTTTACGATCGTCGTGTTGCGTTGCTCCACCGCCTGTCGCTCTGTCGCTATTATTATTATTATTATATTATTAACACGAGTAATATAATGCGCGTATCGTTACTATTGCTCTACCATCATCGCTGCGACAACAGTGCTGTATCGTTAATTTGACGAACCCTTCGTTCGCGCAGCTTGATACAGTCCTTTTTTTTTTCTTACGACCGTTGATACTAATGCGTTGATAACATTCCGGAGCTAAAGGTGTGTCTGTACTTGCGTGCGTGCGTGCGTGCGTGAGCGGAGTGGTACGAGGAGAATGCGGAGAGAGGACGAGAGGTTAGAAGACGGACGAGTGTGAGAGAACGATCGACCGTCTCCTAGGGATCGAGTAGTTGCTAGAGATGTGCGACTTCCCGAAAATTTCGGGTCGGATATTTTCGTCGGGTATTTTCTTCGGGGTTCGCGGGACGGGACTACCGCGATTTCGGACATTCGCACATCTCTACGCACACGTAGCGGTAATGCGTTCAAGTGCGACGAAACTGTTATGTACATACATATGATTATTACACACGGTAACGTAAGCTGCTTATAGATGTAATGTATTTTTTGTAGGGACCATAATATAAGCGGAATATATATATATTATATATATATATATATATATATAAAGTTACGATCAGTACTAACGAGTGATACAAATCGATGATTCTTTGTCACATTTATGAAAGCAATACGCAATCGGTCGCGACACTGTAATAGTGCGAGGAACAAAATAGCGAGAGAGAGAGAGAGAGAGAGAGAGAGAGATGCGTTATCACTTATGTTTGTCACGACGATTATATTAAAGCGAGATAGCGTGTCTTAGGCCCAGTTGTACCAACATTATTTTGGTTTTAAGTGAGACTTAAATATATCTCTGTCTTTATTTATTTAGTAAGAAAAATAAAGATAGACTTATGTTTAAGTCTCACTTAAAACCAAAATAATGTTGGTGCAACTGGGCCTTAAGCGTCGATCGGAGCGATAAGGACGCGCGGCGCGAGATATTAGGTGATACGAAGATGCAATGCGATACGAGATTTAGGGAGAGAAAACGACTAAATCTCTAGAATTCTTTCTGCTTTAGAAACACGGATCGAATTTTATCCAAGTCAAGATATGCCTTAAAACATAGGGAGATTAAAAAGAAAAAAACGTAATTAACTCTTTCGTAGCGATGTTACTCATCCGAGGAGTTCTACCATCCGTTTCCGGCGCAAATTTCCGGAGCAGCTTTCTTTAGGCGACCGCTTACGGCAATCGAAAGCATATCCCTTGAAGATGTCGAGTCATATTTTTTGAACGGTACACGCGCGCACTTTCGCAGCGAAAGAGTTAAAGGATTAAAAAGAGATGGTTGCAGAAATGCGCGGAGCGCTTGCGGAAGAAACAGTCAAATCGCAGCGCACTTTTGCGACCGCCATCTTATTTCTGAGTAATCCCGCGTGCGGAGCCGCTGGCACTCGACCGACGGCTGCGCGCCCGCGAAATCTGTGAAATCTCTGCTTCTTATAAATTATCTCGTTCTCCCTTCTGCGACGAAGAGCGATGTTTTGGATTTTCGAGAGTGCTCGCATAATTCGAAAACACTCGTCCGTGCCGAATGAGGGAGCGAGTCGCCGCGCGCGATTTTTACGGTTGATGCACAGGACGTAACGTGTCTCGCGTGCCGGAATCATTATTGTCGAATTAACTACTTCAACCGGGGAAAAAAAAATAGAAATAATAATCATAATGATCGGAAACGCCTTTTATGTGACTCATACAAGCCTAATTTTTCGAAGAGTAAGGCACAAACAGACAATGTATTTACAATGAATAAATGTTTTGAAAACTGTTATTCGTCGGAGGTCTGATGTGACGCGCGACCGCAATTCCCCGAGAGCCGATCTCGACGATGCGAAACGATAATTCTGTCGATTCGCACGTTCCGTATCGTAACTGGATTCAGCAAAGCGTTGTTCTCTTTCCGACACCTTGTGCATTATTTCGCACGAGACATACGATTATTCGAATTCCCCTTTGCACGGAGCGGTATTAT